ATACATAGCATATGTGCACAAACACTTTTTCTTCCTACATCCATGGCAGTTACCGCAAGCAATCACAAAACTCTGTCTTCTCAGCCAGAACATAACTGCATAATGCTCTCTCTCCGTATAAACAGTTCCAATAGCCTGAGATACACACGAGCGGTCACCCGCGCCAAAGATTATCTGGAGATGATAGAGAGGAGCATCTGAGAGGAAGGCGGGTCTCACACAAAATGGGCTCAGGCAATCCACTCACCTCAGCCTCCCAAAGGCGTGGGACTACAGGCTGAGCCACGGAGCCCGGCTCACATTTGAACTTTCAAACCCCTGCTTACCATTCTAGTTTCCTCCTCATTCTTTGGGTTGAGTGTGGAGTTTGGAAGTCTACTGGAGGCATTCTCTTTTCATTCTTGTGAGGGGAAATTTGTAGTTATTATTTCTAAAGGGAAAGTTTTCTGTTACCCTCCACACCAGGCTAAAGCAGACAAATGTTCTGCATGTCTCCCTATGCTAGTACAGGGTTCCCCCCACCACCAGGCTGTTCTTGGTGGGTATAGATATTCCTTTGAATTTCCAGTCCGGTCCAGAATCACAATTCCAACTTCTTATACAGGACCAAGGTCTTTCATCTCCTGTTTCCTATGCAGCCATTAAAACCCTAGAGATTTCTGAGATAAGTAGGGTACCCTCAACAAAACTGTGGCTTTACTCCCCTGCTTACCATTGTGGTTTCCTCCTTGTTCTTCGGGTTGAGTGTGGAGTTTGGAAGACTACCAGAGGCCTTCTCTTTTCATTCTTGCAAGCTTAGTTATGCCTTTGAAAGTATGTCCTATTTTATCCAGTGTTTCTGTGTATTTAATAATGGGAGCAATTTTTCATCTGAAAAATAGAGTGCCATGTTGCTCTTTGGTTCTTTTCTGTCCTGTGTCCTCCTTATCAATTGAGTTTTTGGTTCTACATTCAGAGATAAGCAAAATATGGCTAACTCTTTTTATTTCCACTAGTATCTCCCTGGTGTATGTCATGATTACTCCCTCCGTAGTTTATTTCCCTTCTAGCTTCTCTATACTCCATTCTCCGCTTAGCAGTCTGGTGACCTAAAAGTATACACCAGAAAACACCACTTCCCTGCTTAAACCCCTTTAATGACTTCTTGGAATAAAGTGCAGATTTCTTACCATGGCATTCTAGATTCTTCATGACCTGAATCTTGTCTGCTCTAGTGTTTTTTCGTACTATCTCCTTGCACTCTAAGGCCCAGGTACACAGGCCTTCTTAAGTGACCATAGCAAGCTCTTTCGCCTGTTCTTAATGCTTTCCCCTGGATGCTTCTCATTGCTGGCTGTTTCTGTTCTATTTTAAATATCACCTCTTTAAAGAGGCCTTCTTTGGCCACCCAATCCAAGTAATCTCCCTTAGTTCCCCCTTCCAGATATCCCTGCTTTAATTACTGTGTTTTCATATTTGTAAACTCCACAAAGGCTAGGTGAATCGTGTTCACTTTTATATCCCTGAAGCCTAAGTGTCTGATACACATCAGACACTCAAATATTTGTAGAATAAGTGAATACATTGATAAAACAGGGAGGTCTTAATTTGCAAGGAGGTGGGACTTAGTTTAGCAACAAAATTAAAGTAAGAGTTCGTAGGTAAAAAAAGCAAAATGGGTAATGAATGAATTCCCAGAAACAAACGTCCTGGAGCAGACTTGTATAACAGCAATCGTCTGTCAGTATCTTCGGTGGCAAAAACCACTGGAGACAATGCTGAATTAAATGGGACCGGCTGTCCCTCTCAATACAAAGACTACCAAAAAAGAGCAGCGCCCATCACTAAACTACAACTCCCAGCAGCCCCCGCTCGAGCCCGCCCATTGGGAGGTGAGGCTCGTCTCCGCCCCGGGGAGCTCCAGGCTTCGGGGCCGGAGGTGGAGGGGGTTCTGGCCCCGCCCCTCCCGCGCCCGGCCGTCGCCCTCCCCCAGGGTTGTGGCCACGCGCAGCGGCGGCGGTTGTTCCGCTTCCCCTCCGGCCCGGGCCGTCGCCATTGCCGAAGGCTCCCTGCCTTCCCCTCCCTGGCGGGCGCAGGGCTCCGCTACCGCCCGGCCTAGCGGTAGCAGCGGCTGCGCTCCAGCGCGGCTCCGCTTCCCGCCCCGCGTCCCCTTCCCCCCCCTCCCCTGCCCGCGCCGCGCACTCGCCCGGGGCGGCTGCGCAGCCCGCCGGGAGCTCTGACGGAGGCGCCTCGCCGGGGCGGGGACCGTTCCTGGCTGGGGTAAGTGCAGGCAGGCCCGCTCGCCGGCACGCCCGCCGTTCCTCCTTCCGCCTTCCTCCTCCGCGGCCTGGCTGGCGGGAGCGGCCCGGGGCAGCCGACCTGCCCCGCGCGGGGCCGCGAAGCCGCCACCTGCGTGCTTGGGGCCGCGGCTCCTGGGGCGGTGGCTCATTGTCTGTTCCCTAGGGCTGTTTTCTCCTCCGGCTTTAGCCCCAAATGGGAAGCTTGCAGGGCTGCGGAGGGCTGACTCTTCCTGGACCCATCCCTGCCCTGACCCGCGCCGTGCCTCGGGCTCAGCCCTCTCTCGGTCTGCCCTCCCCTCGGCGACTCGAATGCTGGACCAGATCTCTCGGGTTTTGTTCCTTGATTTTTCCTCTCGCTGGTCTCAGCCCCTCCTCGCTAGCTGTCTGCTCACGCCAGTTTCATTGCTTGGGAATATTGATTGTCTCGAGTGCCTTAACTCTTCTCTTGACTCCAATCTGAAACCCCTTTTCCATATTCCACATTGGCAGGAAAGTTTTCTCGGGGGGTTGAGGCCACCGCTTAAGAACAGAACTTTCAGGTTTTCTTACAGTTCTTGTTTGATCTTCAGCCAGGTGGTTCTTTAGGTAGCTTAGGCGAAGTTAAGCTTGGTTTTCACCATGTTTGGCATTCTTTGAAACGCACACAAGACGTTGTCACAAATTCCTCGGTGGATTCAACCTTTTGACTAATTCTTTAACGATAATGTCATCCACGGACTGTGAAGTGTGTCAAGTGAGGTTGCACCCATCCTTGTATCTTAATTTAATGGCAATACGCTGGACAGTGTGAACGTGATTTGTTTCTCCCTTGATAAATAACCAACTCCCATTGATATCATTATTTCAGTTCTACTTTACAAGCGATCTATAGTTTCTTTGTTTTTTTTTAACCTTTGCCAAAGACAATCAAATGGTTAGGCCTAAAATTAGACTACGAAGAGCTGTGTTTTGGATCAAGGCTGTGCACGTCACATTTTTTCCCCTGCTGTGTTTGACTCTTCCGCTCTTATAAGTAGGCAGGATATTGAAATGTACAAGAATCTGCTCTGGATGTTTTGTTTTTGTAGGGTTGTCCAAAAGAATAACATTCAATAAAGTTAGATTGGGATGAACGCAGTGAATAGTAATTTTTAAAGCAGGTTAAAACTTGTCAACTTTGCCAGAATCTCTGTGGCATTTGTAATACACTCATACTCATGTGTTATATGAAAAGCCTTTTAGTGTTCTGCAAGAGGTATTGATTTAAGACAACTCATTCACTCTGTCATCCTCAGCTTTTACATCTTTCAAGCTATTAGCCAGGAACACCGATTTCTATTTATGTTATGGACATTGAACCGCATGTTTTTTTACATATAATGTATGTAGTCTTAAACCTTCAGATTTTGGTGAAAGGGGTTGACCTAAATTCAGTGTATTTTGTGTTTTCACTAAATAGTCCATTGTTACCTTCCCTCCGGCAAGGCTCTGAAAAAAATGGTTTAGTACTCAGCTTCATTTGGTAGTATCAGCTGCCCTTTATTTAATGGATGTCTTATTGACTTCAGGGATTGAGGTGTAGAAATGTTGGCGTGTGAAATTGGGTCTATAGATGTCAACTTCTGTGCTAGTTCTTTCCATAGGCAGATATTTATATGAAGGAAGAGTTCCTGGGTATTTCACTTCCCTTAGGGCCTTGATTTATGGTTTGCTATCATTCAGAGATTCTTATGGACTGTGTATCATTTAATATTAACCTTGCAACCTAAAATCATAATATGATAAGTTTGTAGTTGGGGTATATTTACTAAACAAGTGATAAAGTGTTCTTGTGGTTCTCTGATCTTTATGATAGGCAGGTTTCCAAGCAGACATGGTTAACAGTTTGTATTTCTTTTCAATTCTTCTTTTTTTTTTTTTGAGTTGGAGTCTCACTCTGTCACCCAGATTGGAGTGCAGTGGCCGCTCCCGGCCACCGCAGCCTCGACCTGCTGGGCTCCGGTGATCCTTCTGCCTCAGCCTTCCAAGTAGCTGGAACTACAGGTGCGTGCTATCACGCCCGGCTAATTTTTTTAAAATTTTATTGTAGAGATGAGGTCTCGCCAAGTTGCCCAGAGACCCGCGGGCTCCGGCAATCCACTTACCTCAGCCTCCCAAAGGCACGGGATTACAGGCTGAGCCACCAAGCCCGGCTTCAATTATTCTTTTAAAAGCGAGAACTTTGAGCTTGGTAGCCAAGGATAAACTTTCAATTATACTGTTTTAAGATGCAAGAACTTGTTCAGGTAGCCAAGGATAAAATAAGTAGGTACTATTTCATGCTTCCTATCTTTAATCTATCAATATTGGCTATTTATTTTTATTTTTTATTTTTGAGTTGGAGTCTTACTCTGTCGCCCAGACTGGAGTACAGTGGCCGCTCCCGGCCACTGCAGCCTCAACCTGCTGGGCTCTGGCGATCCTTCTGCCTCAGCCTTCCGAGTAGCCAGAATTACAGGCATGCGCTACCACGCCCGGCTGATTTTTTGATTTATTGTAGAGATGAGGTCTCGCTGCTCAGGCGGGTCTCGAACCCGTGGGCTCAGGCAATCCACTCACCTCAGCCTCCCAAAGGCGCGGGATTACAGGCTGAGCCACTGAGCCCAGCTAAATATTGGCTATTATGACAGTATTTGAGCATAGTTTTTTTTGGCTTTCTAAATTTTCTACTTTTTTTTTTTTTTTTTTTTTTTTGAGTTGGAGTCTCACTCTGTCGCCCAGACTGCTGGAGTGCATTGGCTGCTCCTGGCCACTGCAGCCTCAACTTGCTGGGCTCCGGCGATCCTTCTGCCTCAGCCTTCCAAGTAGCTGGCGCTACAGGCATGGCTACATACCCGGCTAATTTTGATTTATTGTAGAGATGAGGTCTTACCAAGTTGCCCAGGCGGGTCTCGAACCCGCGGGCTCAGGCAATCCACTCACCTCAGCCTCCCAAAGGCGTGAGATTACAGGCTGAGCCACTGAGCCCGGCTTAAATTTTCTACTTTTGGTTAAAACTTAAAGTGGGGTTCAGTTGTGAGGGTTTTGATCAGTTTGTTATTAAAAAACCTTTCAGTTGTTAGAGGGTTAACTGTTTCCAGACCGGAGGAAGGTTGTTAAGTTACTTGCAAATTGTACTTCTGAGTTCTTCCTAAGTATACTTCTTGTGCCTTGGTGGAACAGAAAAGGAAAGGAAAAAAATAGCCCCCATTGCCCTCACAAAATACTGGTTGTTTTCGCTTGTGATCAGAATAGTTTCACTACTTCTTCACTTTTAGGATCACCAGCCTGGTTAAGAGTAGTCAGCCTGAACATTTATTCATTCAAGATATCAGTTCTAGCCTGTTATTTCTGGGGTATATTAGTACTTACTCCATGTGTTCCCAGTGGTTAGGAGCTAGAGTCCTGGAATTCTGGCTCTTCTGCATTACCCTGGGCAAGATACACAGTTCAAGACTCATCTGTAAGATGGGGATAATAACAATAACAATAATAGCAATTTCGTAGGGCTGTTTAGATCAAATGAGAAAATTCACATACAGTACTTGGCAAGTACAGTGCTTAATAAACGCAAGTTAATAGTCTGTTCTTGTAAGCCATAGAATGTAGAATGAATGAATACTCATGGACTCAGATGTAAAACTGCTTTCTAAAAGCAAGGTTTCGAGACCATAACTAAAACTAAAACTTGTTTTTTTGGAGAATAATGATTTTTCAGAAGAAAAAAATATACTTTCACCACTGAAATAAAATACAGGTCTTTTGAAAACAAATTTCTCAGATTTTTTTTTTTTTTTTTTTGAGTTGGAATCTCACTCTGTTGCCCACGCTAGAGTGCAGTGGCACGCTCATGGGCACCACACCACATCCTCGACCTGCTGGGCTCAGATGATCCTTCCACCTCAGCCTTCCAAGTAGCTGGAACTACAGACGCATGCCACCACACCTGGTTATTGTAGAGACGAGGTCTCACCAAGTTGCCCGGGCAAACCCCTGGGCTCAGGCAGTCCTCTTACCTCGGCCTCCCAAAGTGCTGGGATTGCAGGCTGAGCCACTGCGCCTGGCCAAATTTCTCAGATTTTTAAAAGTATGTGTATTTCTCACAGAAAATTTGGAAAGTAGGCAGTGGCTTGTAACCATAAATCCTACCTATTTGGGAGGCTAAGGCAGTAGGGTCTCTTGAGACCAGTAGTGTGAGGTCAGCTCTTAAATAAAAAATAAAAATAGGGGAAAAAAATTTTTTTAAGAAAGAAAATTTGGAAAGTACTAAAAACTATTGAGACAAAAGTCACCGTAGTCTCAGCTGGCAGAGATAACCATCATAACAGACTAGAACAGTGGGCTTTTCCTTTTCTTTTTTTTTAAACGGCCTGCAGAACCCTGTATTCCCAAGTGGTCTCTCATTCAAGTACTAATGTCCCTGCTTAGCTTCCAAGATTGGGCACACTGTAAAAGATTCAAACAAGTTGATTAAATAGAGTAAAAAATGAAAATTATTATTTATAATCCCATTCTTTAGAGGTATCTACCCACTTAAGAGTTTTATTTATTAAATTAGAAATAAGCACCTATTGTGTGTTGTATAGTTTTTATGTTGATTTTAAAATAAAAATCTGGGCTGGGCATGGTGGCTCAAGCCTGTAATCCCAGCACTTTGGGAGGCTGAGGCAAGAGGATTGCCTAAGCTCGCGGGTTCGAGACCACCCTGGGCAACTTGGTGAGACCTCATTAAAAAAAATTAACCGGGTATGGTAGCTCGCGCCTGTAGTTCCGACTACTTGGAAGGCTAAGGCATAAGGATCACCGGAGCCCAGTGGGTCGACACTTGGGGTGGCCGTGAGCATGCCACTGCACTCCAGCGAGGGCGACGGACAGAGACTCCAACTCAAAAGTAAATAAATAAATAAAATAAAAATCTGATCACTATGTTTTCATATTAGTACATATAGTGGCACCTCATCTTTTTAGCAGTCATGAGATATT